ACTTTTTACTTTTCTACTTCTTTTTATCACCTAATTTTTTTTGTTTCTTTCAGCTAGTTTTTGCTATTTGTAGCTTGCCCTTTGTTAATTTTAACAATCAGCTAAAGTTTTTCTACTTTTAGCCAGCGTTTTGCTTCTCTCAGCTAACCTTTTGTTATTTTAGCTTCAAGCTATGACCATTCTACTTTTAACTAGTGCTTTGCTTTCTTCGGCTAGCCTTTTATTATTATTAGCATTTAGCTACAACTTTTCAACCAATGGTTTGTTTGTTTTTTTAGCTAATAGCTACCCTTTATTGAAATATTAGTTTCTGACTACAGTGTTGCTACTTATAGCTAGTGTTTTGCTGCTTCCTTAATCTTTTCACYAACTTTTACCTACTTGTGATTTTTCTCTGGCATTTGTTTATTTTAGCGTCTATTAAGTGTTATGCTTCTTTAAGCTATTCCAGCTCAGTGTCGGCTTTTTCAGCGCTCCTTCAGCATTAATCTGAGTTTTTGCCTTTGTAGCTGTTGTAGAGCTGCTCCAGCTTCTTGCGATCCACTGTAGTTTTCATGGGTACTTTGTAGTTCTGGTTCTGGGAGTAGATGGCCACTTTCTAGTCTCCGGTCATCCTGGATYAGGCGGTACACGGCTGTCCTCTCTCCTGCCTGTGTGATGATTTCAGCTTGAGCTGTGAAGAAARTAAATACAGGCAAAAACCCAAAGGTTTAAGGAACCAACACTGTTTTAACAGATAGTTCTTTGGCAAAYATACAGTTTAATGTGTCGTTCTCAACTTATGTGTTGTGAATGACTCTCAGCTACTACCACACCAAATTTCCCCCCAACATATGTAAAAATGGCTGACTTATARGTATTTTTGTGTTTGTTGACGCTGCTCAGCTGTGGCGGCCATCTTGAATTGGGTTGACTCCCAAAACACACAAATACATTATCCCCCGCCTATTATGWCATTTAAATCATTTTAAACTCTWAACATRTTTTGTCTAAAACTCAAACCATGATCCATCAGGTGGTTCCGTTCGCTCAGTTGACCTCATTCAGGTGTTTTGATCTTCGGACAGTTTTCAGAACCGCAGCTCGATGATCAGATTGTTTCTTTGACACGGACGGGTTTARCGACCCGGGCTCCCTGCTGGGCATCAGAGGTTAAGTGATCCCCGGAACCACCCCCCGACTCCTCCTCCTCCTGACCCGGATCAACGGGCGCAGGCGAGCTTCCAAAAAGGGAAAGGTACGTGGTGYGAGCGGTACAGGTGTCCGATCTTAAAATACCAACAACTGACCTTCCGTTTCCTAAAAACTCACTCTGACCGACGGAATACGGCAGAGGACACGCTTGCACCGGGTTCCCCCTTCACGCTAGAGACACCCGGTGTCGGTTCGGACACTTTAAAACTCTCTCTTAGTTTCTTTTTTCGAGTTTTACTCACCATTTTATCACCCGCTCTGCCGACTTATCCGCGTATCCATAACGCGCATGCGCAGGAAGAACTCCGCGCCACTGGGTTCATGGGAAATGTAGTTCCCGAGCTTGTTTTCAACACGAACCACTCCTAGCTTCAGTTCAATATATTCATAATGGAACAAAACATATAAACAAAACACTTAACCTCTTATTTGTTCATTTCTTACAAAGAAATCAAACATTTAAAGACGCATTAAAGGTAAAACTACATCCGTGGAAGACTAGGCACACGAAGTTGCCAAAGAAAGCCTAAGTTAGCTTCTGATTCGTCACTAAAGGGCCATTTCACTTAAGTTTCAGCATCTGTGCCATTTTTGATCAGCTCTAGTTTTAAAACCACAATAATTAGACTTTCCAAACTGRGACTAGATTGTCCCATATTAAAACCATAATTATTTCAGTGCAGTTAAACTTTGTTATACTTTTATTTTATTTGTGAAAGTTAAATGAACAAACATGGGAACAGTATTAGGCATTGATGCCACAACAGAACAGTAAAATTACCTCTTTAATTTTTTTTAATTTACCCTTTATTTATACAGGAAAGTCTCTTGAGACTCATTGTCTCATTTACAAGAGAGACCTGTTAACATAAAAACAATAATAATACGTTTTACTTAACACTTCTAAACATCAATACCATACATCATCAAAGGAAGGGTTTTCACAAATACAACAGGTTTAAGCAAAAAGCATAAATCTGCTTAAAGGAAAACTATTTAGTCACATTTGTACAAATTCAGTGGAATAGCCCTTTACTGAGCAGTCAAATCGGAAACTAACTTCAGCGTCGTATCAGCAAACAGGAAACATAGTGATAGTTTAAAACTTGTCATTACTGAAATAAATAACAGCACAAATAGTTGTTTGAGTGTAACTATATAATAAACCAAAGAGGAGGTTCTGTACTCTGAAAGYATTGACGCAGTCGACGGTAAACACGTCAAAATGAGAAAAAACTACAACTCCCAGAGTGCATCTGAAGATGTTTCGGAAGTAATCAGGAGCTGGGATCTAAAAACAACAAGTAGCTGATTATGGTCTTAAAACAGCGCAACAGTTGTTCTGTTTACATTAATGTTTATTATAAATATTAATGAATTGAAAAGCCGTCGCTGTTTATGCTAAGATGTGTTAGCAGCGTCGTCTCACAGTGACAGCTCCAAAGRAAGCAGGAGCGACAACTTCCGAGGAATTTGAAGCCTTTAATTTAAAAAAAAAAATTATGTGAAACAGAAGCAGCCTCGGTGGTTTCATCCATAGACAGGAGAAGAAGTAGCTCACCGTTAGCCTCCCTCTGTGTGTGGGGCTGACAGCGCGTCACCGCCGGCCGGAGGTCAGGGAGGAGACACGCCGCTGGAGGCTCCGTGAGAGCCGGGGAACGCCTGCTCCGRCGCTGGCTTCATATGTGGCAGCAGGGGAGGGGTGTGGGTGCTGCCGCCGCACAACAACATGATTGTTCCYCCGGCTCCAGTCGTGGCGCTGAGAGCCAAGGAAGTGTTGTCAGCCCGCAGGTAGACGCTGCTTTTCCTCGTCGCTGAGCCCATGGATGGTTTTAATCTCTTCTGGTATGTTTTATTGGTGTGTTCTGCTCTTATAAACGTCTTTGTTTGGCTACTCTAACATACTTGAGCTATTTTGGACAAAATTTCAAGTAGATTGATTTTTAGATTGCTTATTATAACTTTCAGCCTTTTTTTATTTTTTTAGCATTTTGCTGTTTTGATTTTAGTTGGCATTTACTGTTTGGCTGTTCTCAGTGTTCTGCTCTTTTATTTAGCCTGACATTCTGATACTTTTGGCATTTTAGCTCACCTTTTGCTACTTTCAGCATTTAGCTTAGCCTTTGCCACTTTAAGCTTTTAGCTAGCCCCCTGAGACTTGTACCTAATCTTTTGCTATTTTTACATTTTAGCTGGTCTTTTACTATTTTTAGTTGTTTAGCTTTTTARTTTAGAATTTTGCTGCTATATTTAAGCTTTTAGTTAACACTTTGTTCCTGTTAAAGTTTTGCTATTTTTAGCTTGTAGCTATCTCTGTGCTATTGTTTAGCTTTTAGCTTCTAGTCTGCTATTTTTGAATTTGACCTCACCTTTTACTGCTTTTGATTTTGTTACTTTCAACTTATAACTGGCCTTTAAGACTTATCTAAACTTTTGCTACTTTTATCATTTAGCCTTTTACTATTAGCTTTAATGTAGCATTTCACTACTTTAACCTATTAGTTAGCATGCTGCTGCTGTTAGCCAGTGTTTTGCTATTTTAAGCATTTAGTTAGTATGCTTCTGCTGGTAGTGTTTCACTATTTTAGCTTTAAGCTACTGTTTTTCTTTTAGCATTCATTTACCATTCTGCTACTGGGCCAGCATTTAGGTACTGCGTAGCTTTTAGTTCTTGTTCTACTTTCAGCGTTTAGTTAGTCCTGTAAGACTTTTACCTGACCTTTTGCTATTTTCATATTTTAGCTTGTATTTTGCTACTTTAGGGTTTCTCTTATATCTGGTTTCCTTTATCCTTTAAGTTAACCCTTTATTACTTTCAGTCAGCCTGCCACTTTTAGCTAATTAGCCCTCAAAACAGATCAGGTTTGAGAGTTTTAGCTAACCTTTTGTAGCTTTTAGCTAATCTTGTGCTACTTTTYGCTTTAATGTATTATTTTGCTACTTGATTTTTTTGTTTGCAAAATGTTACTGTTTGTTAGTATCTTGTTATTTTTAGCTTTAAGCTAGTTTTAGCTCTTTTTGAAGCTTTTAACTAACATTCTGGTACTGTTTAGCCGTTTATTACTTTATTATTTTGCCCATTTTAGCTTTTGGATAGTGTAATGCAGTTAAACTTTAAAAAATTGTACTTTCACTTTAAAGTACTTCAGTTGTAGTTACCTGGTTGATGAGATATTTTGCTAACAGCCCTGCCCAGACTGTGCTAAACTGCTCTATCTCCTCAGGTCTCACRTTCCACTCTGAACCCCTCATCCCGGTAAAAAACAAATAAACAAAAAACAGCTGAAGTTTTTGATGCAGGCTGTGTGTTGGCTGCTGTGCCTCGGCCTCGCAGGGCCGCTCGCCGCTCTGCAGAAAGACCAGGTGGCCCGGCACGCCGTCAAGCTCTACCGGACCAGAGTGACCACTCCCGGCCACGGCTGGTTGGCCAAGAACTGCAAGCAGCTMGTGGGCCTCCTGCGTCAGAAGAATGTGGCTGTCAAGAAGCTGGCAGCCGCCGCCGATGCTGTTGAACGAAACAGAAGCCTCTCAGAACCAGAGAAGAACTTCCAGGTAAGAAATTTAGTCCTTTAAATCCCAAATCTTCACTTCGTCTCAGTCTCCCATCCTGAGCAGCATGTTGGTGAGAGTGGAAAAGAAACTACTTCCTGTTAACAGCAGAACCAGACTTAAAATAAGAGCCCATCTGACCGGACCTGCTGGGTTTTAAGACAGAGGACTGGTCAAAAATGTAGTTTATATAGTGGAGGTGTAGTTTATATAGTCAGGGTGTAGTTTATGTGGTCCAGGTGTAGTTTATATGGTCCAGGTGTAGTTTGTGTGGTCCAGGTGTAGTTTATGTGGTCCAGGTGTAGTTTATATGGTCCAGGTGTAGTTTGTGTGGTCCAGGTGTAGTTTATGTGGTCCAGGTGTAGTTTATATGGTCCAGGTGTAGTTTGTGTGGTCCAGGTGTAGTTTATGTGGTCCAGGTGTAGTTTATATGGTCCAGGTGTAGTTTGTGTGGTCCAGGTGTAGTTTATGTGGTCC